TTGTGTCTCTCCACTTTGGGACTGTGTCAGAAATCCCATCCTTTCTCTTGTGATTGTTGATGAGTTGTCTTCCCATTTGTTTTATTCTTAAAATCTCTTAAGGGCATTTTCTTTCAATATGTTACATAATTTGCGGCATGAACATTTTTATTAGGAGACATTACATTTCTCTTTTTAACTACTCCTGTCACTCTTCATTACTCTTTTTTAACCTTGCTTATTACTTTGAACTGTTTGCTGGAGAAAAGTGGAAAATTGTTATTGTCTTGTCACAAGGAAGAAGGTTGGTATGGTGGAGTCTAAAATAAAAGCCTTTCAAAGGCTCTAGAACTTTCCTGTTCCTCCCTCTCACCCCCCCAGCAGTGTGGCATTTTTTTTCCCATGTGGTACAGTCATTTTGGAGGGGAAGAGAGGAGGCTTTAATAGAACTTCAGAAAACATGAACATGATGTATTTAAACAAAATGCTTGGAAATAGAAGGGGTTTTTTTCTTAATTGCCAGAAAGTCTGGGAATTGGATGATTAAAACATGGTTTTCTGTAGGGAGTCCTTCATCTGGGAGTTTGAACTGCTGCAGTTTCTTAAGAATTTGAAGATAATTCCATCACCGTTTGCTGTTGGGTTTTTTTGTCCCCCTTCCACTTCCACCAGCTATTCCTGCTGTCCATTAGGAACCCAGTTATTCCATCTGTCTTCTACTGAGGGAGCAACCATCTGTCAGACAACCTCTGTTAAATTTCTTCTGTGAAACCTGCAGTTTCACCAGTAATGGAGAGATCTCTGTAAAGTGTAGCTCTTGCCTCCTTCCTTTGCTCCGGCCCATGAACAAACAGCATTTTCCCTGTGGAGTGTACCAAACCAGAGCGGTGTGTGTGTGTTTTATACTTGCGGCAGAAGGGATTTTCTCTGTTAAAATGTAGTCTTGTGGGTGCCCAGAAAAGTTCCCATTTAAGGGCCTGGTGTATGAAAGATTGCCTATAGCTTGCAAGTCTCTTTCACACACAATAGTTTCCACTTAATGAAATACAGACCTCTGCAAACAGAGCAATTAGGCATAAATACATAATTCTGCCCTTCTCTAGTTGGGCTATGAAAAGGTGAGTCATTTGAGGACCTATAGTCCCCCTGTAGGGGGAGAGAGGTGGGATTCTAGTGGATGGATTTATTTTTCACTAAGTGCAGTTTGCAGTTACTGTATGCGCGAGATCAGCAGAATACGTCATTGTGGGATTTACATTTTGTTTGTCATAGTCTTTGCTTTTATCCATTCAGGCTTGCTTGTGAACATAATCTAATTGTCATTCTGAAGTCATTCTTAAATGACTTTTGGATGGTCAGTCTATTAGAAAGGCTAACAGATGGTAAAGGCTGAGGTATTTTTCAGTTGTCAGTTCCTTTCTCTGATACTGTTTAGTGGATTTTTTTATTACTTCTGTAGGACCTAACTTTCTCCCCAAGCCAAATGTTTAGTTTATCATAAAGATACCAGCCCATTCTTTTCCCACTTCCTGTGTCCCTCTGTCTTCTGCCAAGTCCCAGTGATTATTATTGTCCATATTCACAATCCTGAGCATATTGAAGGATATCTTGTAGGATGTAGAAATCTAGATTTTAAGTAATTTTTCCTTTTTGTGTCTAGTCTCTCACTTGTCTGGTTTGACCTGGATCATTGGTTTATTTGGGGTTTTTTTGATTTTGTCTTTGATTTTTCTCAAGAGATCTTGGAGACTCTGACCTAGTTTCAGCCTGTGGTTTGTAGTGGCATATTTTCTGAGTATTGCTTGATGATAAGGAAGCTCCCAAAACGAACAACAGAAAAAATCCACAGTATTTGGGGACAATGGTGCAGTGAATAGAAGAGTGTTGTCAGGCACAGGAGCTTAACAGTCAGATAGGGCTGGAATTCCCTGAAAAAATGTAACTGCAAACTGCAGATGTGTTGCCTGACTTGCAATGTCCCTTTGCAGAAATTATTTGAAAGGTAAGACTTTTTGAGAAAAACTGTGGACTCCTAGAACACATCATTTCACAGATTTAATATATATTAATCTTATGTAAGCTGGGGAATTGAGAATTTTTGTAAAAATATTAGGAGATATGTCAACACCAAAACTGTTTTCCTTTGTTTCTGTTGAAACAGAAAGAAAATTAACATATTATCTTTTCCTGATATGGTTTAAAATGGAAAAAAAAAACAAACCCAAACCAACAAAAAATTCTGTAAAGATTTAATCTTATCTGGTTTTTATTATAATACCAATTTTCTAGAACAGAATTATTGAAATACTAAAATCAAGTTGTTTAAACTTAACAGCTGAAATCCATGCAACAACTGTAAGACCTGGTGGGGCAGGTACACTTTGGGCAAACTCTACCTTTCTGTTTTTTCAGACTTACAGTAATATTCCAGTATACATGGGATCCTGATGTTCAAATCAGCATAAAATATATTAACTATATTTTCCCTTGAGAGTGCCTTAAAAGGATTTTATGGTATTCCTTATTCTTTGGAATAACTGGAAAAGTTGTAGTTGCATCTGATTTTTGTGTGTGCATGTAGGCATTTGTTTTAAAACGTAATAGATATTTATAGCACTCTCAGTCATTTAGGAAGTTCATAGTTACTAAAATAGAATAAGCCACCTTGGTTTTTTGTAAATTTTTGGCTGATTTGAAGATGTTATGCCAAGATATATTCCTGGATGTTGATATCTTAATTTTTTGTTTTTGAATAGTCTAAACAGTGACTTTAACTGTCAGGCATCCCCTGGACACTGCAGAGCATAGCGCCACTAGCACTCACCAAATGTCCAACTTTCAAGCTCAGGCTGTGCGATTTATCAGGTGGCAGAATGTATTCCTATCTGTTGTTCTCCCTTAAAGATAAGTAGAAAGAACAGTGTTCGACACAAGTGTACTGTAAAGCACAAACACTTTTATGCAAGTTGTTCACTCTTCTCATAAAAGACGGATTTGATTATTGTCATCTGGAGGAGCTAGCAATTGAAATTAAGTTTGTAGCACATTTTTTTTACTAATAATTTTTTTGTTCGAATTATTGAAAAAATCTCTTAAGGTAGTTAAGATATCCTCTCAAAATTAAATTCAGTGCTGACACAATATAGATGTATGACACCTGCTTCTGTAGGAAGGTATATGAAATGAGAAAGCTCTTTAATATTACAGTAAGTGAATTGGAATGCAAAATAAACAACCTTGCAGCGATTAAGATGAGAATGACCAAAGGCTGGTTTTCTTTCCAGCAACGGATGGTTTCTGTGAAGGCCTTTGATTCAAAGTAGGAGTACATCTTTTATTGTGGGTGATAGCAGTATGAGTCTTGGAAGCTGTTTCCTTTTCACACTTACATTTTTGTGGAATGTGCTTAGATGGCAAACACAGGCGGTGGCTGTTGAGCAGTTTTTTTCCATCCTGAGAACAGTGAATACCAATTCATAGTGCAGGGAATGATGAGGCACAGAAAACTTAATCCATATTATAATTATATCTTTGTCTGGATGCTTTATAGTGTCAATTGAACAATAAACTCATTTTCATAACCACAGCTTCCCTTAGGAACTTCGAATTACACCTGCTTCTCAACTTGTAAACAGCTCACTGAGTCTGTGGAAGTGTCTCTTAATGCCATGTGGGCTATACTTTTCACAATGACATGTAGCTATTTGTGAACTTTTACTGTTACCTTTTCAGATTTAGCATGGACCACAGTCCCATAAATATTGTCCTTCAAACACCTGTGACCATTGAAGATGTGCATATGCTGTGAATCTGAAAACAGAGGGCATGAGTCTTCTGCTGGCTTATCTCTGTATATGTATGTGTGAAAAGGGAAAGCAATTACACAGTTGTTTTGGGAATCAGAGCTGTTAGTGGCAAGAAGTAAAGTTAGAAGTAATGCTGGTTTGGCTAAACCAAAGATAATGGAAGTTTCAGTTTTATTGGAGAAATAAAGCTGATAGAACTGCAGGATAAAAGGAGTATAAAGGAAATCAGTCTGATGGTATAGGGACTTTCTGTGGCAAGCATGAAAAAAGGGAAGAAATTGGCAGGGATGGATAAGGAAGAGATATAACACATAATATAAAGAATGCTTAAAAATTATTTTAAAATAAGACTTTGGCAACAGAAAATTATAAGAAAGATGTTAGGCATCAAAATGATAGATTGTGTCTGGTTTAGGAAACTTAAGTGGTACCAGACAAATGAGAGTTTTGAGAATAATGATTCAAATGACCTTTGTAGAACCTTGCAGTCACTTGAGTACTTTCAGTACATTTCTTTCTATGTAAATTAACACTTTTCATATTTGTGTTACAGATGTTAGTGTGATGTGTTAGATGTTTTAAACTGTAATTGCCTTCAATTTGTATGTTGCTATTAAATTAAATTCCCTGAATTACATTGATGATGTTATGGCTGCCACCGAAGTGGCAGTTGTGAAGAACCATGAGAGCTGGGAATAATGACACAGGTGGAAGTGAGAAGCCAGTTCATGCTCTTAATAAACCACATAGATAACTTAGTTCCTGTAATGAATTTCCAGATTATTTCATCAATATAATCAACTTTATGAGTCCTTTTATTTGAAAAGACATTGTGTAATAATGATGGATTGACTAAATCACAATTCAAGATTGTTAGATATTGGTGATTAAGAACCAAAGAGAATTTAATGTTTTCTAAAGAGAAAAACCAGGAAATCTTTTCCTGGTTTTGTTCTGTATTAAAGTGGTCTCACAGGTTTGGTTTTTTTTTTTTTAAGAATTATTCCTCATATTTTTTAGGAGTATACCATGAAAATAAAAAACTGGAATCAGTCTCTTGTTTCTGATATTCCTTTCCTTTCTCCTCAGGTTATGGCTGGTATGAGAGAACCCTTTGTTATGTTTTATATATATCGCAACAGTGGGGTTTTTGTTTGGGGTTTTTTTGTCATAGCATTATTTTCAGAGGTGGATTTTTTTTTTTTTCCCCCTCAGAACCCTGTCAAGAAAATTCCAGATTCTCATGAAATTACACTCCAACATGGGACAAAAACAGTAAGTGATAACACATTTTCAATACTTCTTGTCTTTCTGGAAATGAGGCAGCCTATGAAATAAGTTAAATATATATTGTCAGCTGAAGTTCAAGAAGCTAAGTGTTTTTCTCAATTTGTTATTTTAGTTTAGCTCTTTTCACATTGAAAGTGTGTTTTAGACTGCCTTTTTGCATTCCTGTAATAACCTGAATATGGCTCCATTTGAATTACTTGTAGTCTCATTTTCTTCTTCCTATTTGTCAAATACACTGCAGCTGTTAGAGTTCCTCTTCTAGGCTAGACTTTCCTAACCTACAACTTTCTTTGACTGGTCACGAATTTCAAAGAGAATGTTGTCGCTGAACTTTCTAAGACTTCTTTGTAGCTGAATACTGATATCCTTCATTCTCCCTGAATCCTCAAGTGCCTTTTATACACCATTCTCAATGTCTTGAAACCTTGTTCTTCCTTGTCTTTGACTTCGTCTTTTCTAGGTTTCACCTTTTAATATTGCTCCTTAACTTTCTTTTAAATAGCCACTGTCTGACTTGGAACTATCATTTCTTTGTTCTCAATATTATTATCTCCAGGTAATCTCATCTTTCAACACAAATTCAAGTGCTTTTATGTGCTGATTGATCAAAGATCTATTTTTATAGAATGGAATTTATTTTCTGGCCATGAACAGCCCTGAATCTATTCCCAGATCCTTTCTCCATATTATTTCATCATTAAAAAAGATGATGCTGTTGTTTACCCTCTTCAGTTTGGGCCATGACTTAGGCTTGAATGAGAAAATAATACTATAATTTCTTTTACTGTTGTTATATCCCTGTGAGAACACTGTCAGCTAGTTAATAGAATTCTCACTCATGGCATTCCCGAGAATTTCTTTGGAGAGAGGGGAAAAAAAAAAAAAGAAAGGAAAGAAAAATAAAAAATTATATGAGAAAAATGCTTTTTCATGAGTTTTAAACAATCTAAGGAAATGTATACTTTTCCTTATTGGATTTTTAAGAAAACTCATGGATTCATTTTCTGTTTATATAATTAATATAATAATACACTTAATAATGTAACATTCAACAATATTAAATAACTATTTAAAATAATAAACTTACTAACATGCATCTCAAATTATTGATGCTTAATGTTTTAATTTATGAGTTTAGAATTTGAATTTTTAATAATTTCTTAATATTTATCAGACATTTTAAAGGAATTTTTGGGGGGATTAAACTTAGCAGTAAGATCATAACTTTTTTTGTTTATAAGCTTTCAGTGTCTATTCATTACTCTGGCATCAAACTTTGTGGTCTATCTTGGCGTGTGGAGAGGTGATAAGGCTTACCTATTTGTTTCGCCATAGCACTGGGCATATAGATGTAGAGAGAGGAGAATAAAGAAAAGAAAGAAGTAACAAGTGTGTTATAAATCAAAACAGAAAAATACTCTATTTTAAGACCTGTAAAAGATTCATAGTATTACCCTAAACTAGAGTGGATTTTTATGCACATGGTGCATGTAACTTCTTTGCGTACTAATTTCTACACATACTAGCATTAGTGTACTAATGCAACCAGTTTCCCATTTTACATGTGACTGCTAATTGCAGTCTTGAATACATTTCTTAACAAATTTAATATGTAAATCCTTTGATGGCTTCTTAAAGCATAAGGTTATGTTATTTCAAACTAAGGGGCTTTGTAAAGTGGAAGTTACAGTTTTGGAAGACTTCTGAGGTATTTTGACTACATGAGAATGCAGCTGTCATCACCTAGAGCAGAGGTGAATTATAATGTGGCATAATATAGCACAGTTGGATTAGACTGGATGCAGGGAACGAAACATACTGAAAAAAACAGCTCTTCTGTAGAAGGACTATCTTTTTGTTTTATTTGTTTGTTTAGAATAATGAAACTACCTATGTTATTACACACATAAGGAAGGGAACAACTTCATATCTTGGTATTAGCGTTTCACCCCAACTTTTTAAAATAGTCTTCTCACTATGTTCATGCAGTGTACTCTATTTCAGCTAAACTTACGTATCCCATCTGTACCTCTTCAATCTAATGAATGTGGGTTTGAAGATGACTCTATTCCTGTGCAGCTGAAAAGTCTCAGAAAAGATTTCACAAGCTGGAGAGTCTTTCCAGAAACCTGATTAATTTCCCGGTTGCCTTGCTTGTACAGTGTAGTAAGAGTTACTGTTCCCAATGAAACTTCAGGAATATATATATATTTCTTTTCTCCTGACATTTTGATACATAGGTGGATATGAGAAAGAAAGAATACATAATCAGAGGGATTCTGAACAGTGTGCTTTCTAATGTCTCATATCACAGCTGCTCCTTCCTATAGTAGTTATTGTAGCATAGAACCTTGAGTCTATTAATTGAATGCATGATTAATCTGGAGCTGCCCAGTTTTTCTGCATGCTAGAAATCATGAATGAAATGAGTGGGGTTCAAAGTTTGCATTTAAATGGTAAAGGGGGCATTTTTTTTAAACACGTAAGAGGTTGCATCTGTTTCATTTGAAAATCAAATATGTCACTAAGCAGAGGTTAATTCATTCTTAGGGATAGCAAAAAGCAGTACATTGAAACATTTGATTCAGGGAAGTAAAAAGAAAAATGTTGAGCCTATTGGTAACTCTGTAAATTAGATTTTTTTGGGGGTACTGGATTGGGACATCTGATGATCCTTTGGATTCTTTAGAAGTATGAGGTTTTAGACCATTTCTATAAGGTAAGATTTCTACATGTGAATGCCTCTCAAATAAAGTAGAACAAGTAGATTAAGGAGGAGTCAGTTGCCTCGTGCAGCATCATTTATGCAACATCTTGGTTTGCCTGAAAGTACTTTTTTCAAACTATTGGTTATATGATGACATTGTATGTTTGAAATACAGTGAGGTACCAGCATAAGGAGCAGTGTGAGCCTTAAGGAGAAGATGACTAGAAATGAGTCTTTGATAAAATAAGGAATATGTAAGTGAACCTTTCCTACATGAAACTGGAAAAAAAAACCTTAAAAGAAGCTTATACTCTTTCATATAAGGAAACCTTAATTTTTACAAAACAAATTGTCCATCTTAAAGAACAAATGCCATTCATAACTGGTGTTTTTATTGAAACATTTATTTTCTGTATGTTACTTTTTCAACTGGGCATGGAAAAGAGAACATCTCATGCTAAATCCCATTTTTTTAAACAGTGTTTTGTGTGGGAACTATTCAACAGTTTACATAAGTTTTAAAAGTCTCCATAACACAGTGTATATACTAAAGGTTTAAAAAAAAAAGTACAGTAGTAGACTGATATATCTCTGAGACAAGGTGTTTCTGGTGGTACTTCTATGTGTCTGCATTAAATCATAGTGACTGCCAGTATTTTTCATGGATACATGTAAGGAAGATACATACAGATGAGCATCCTTATATGCAAATTACTGTAATTTTTATACATCAATATCTGGAATTTTTAATACAGGTTTAGACATCTGAAACTAATTGGCCTGATTTCATTCCTGCCCCCTCCTCCCCCCCAAGCAGTTCAGTGTTGCTAGCCTATAGCCATGACACTATTCTCAAGTGTTATCTTTCACTCAGAGTAAGACTTTTCCTTCTTTTATTGTGTCTACAGGTTTTTTTGTTTGGTTGGTTTTTTCCCAACACGATTTTCTGTAACTCTGAATGTTCTTGGTGGAGTACAAGTTTGGTGTTTTTTTTTTTTTTTTTCTTCCTTCAGAATTTTCTGGCTCATCTCTTCAAATCCCTTTCCAGGCATTTTCTAGATTTTTTTTTTTTTTTAATTATTATTATCACTTTGTTTTCCTATGTTGAAGACTGTCTTCCTTGTTGTGAAAGCATTTCTGAATCTGATGATTAGCTACCATATATGTGCGATGTCCCATGTTTTTTTCCAATGGTTAAAAGTCATCCCCTGGTTAACCAGAGTCTAGGTTTTACCCATGGTCTGCCTAACTTGAAATGCCTAATAGAGATTAAATTTTGTTCTAGGGGTTAAAACCTAAGCATGAATTCTGTATGAGTTTTATCTCCTCATGACAACTTTTTCAGTAATTTTTAACATTTCAGATTGGGTGTAACTTTGAGTAGAAATGCTTAGTTTACAGTTTTTGACATCACTTTTCAACACTATCTCATGTAGACAACTTAATTTTGGAGAGTTAATCTTGTTAAGTTACTTGACTTACAAATTAATTTAGCACTTTGTCTAGTTAATCTTATTAATACTTGAAATCATGGTAGATAATATGAATAATGTTTTCACAAATGAGAAGACATAAATTTGAAAGGTAAAAGCATGTTTAATCAATGAGATACTTTCTGTTATTCCCACTACTGTAATAAAATCCTTCAAATGGAGAATTAAAATAGCATTTTCACTAGAAATCCCATTTTAATCAACCTTTGATTTGAGGATAATAAATGAGAGTAATGAGCATTAAGCATTCTTTCCACAAAGTTCTGAGTAGCTTTAAGCAGCTAGTTTTGTATACAAAACAAATGCTTTTGGTAAATTTTTTTCAGCTTTTTAGTTAAAATAATATCTTCTCAAATTTGTGATTTCTTTAAAATCAAGTTTATACTTTATTTTTTCTTTTCTTTTTTTCAGAAGAGAAATATAACCAAACAATGTGTATACGCACATGAAGTGTCTTGAATAACTAGTGCAAAATCTTAGACTGATGGATGTTAAATGCCATTTCAGTATCTTACTAGAAATATTATTTGTGTTTCTGAGAAAAGTCTAGAGTACAATTTTCATCATAGAAATGAAACATATCCAGACTCTGCAATGAGATGATTAGAAAGCAAGCACTGTAAACTAACTTTTCTCAGCTGTCTTCCATAGTTTATTTCAAAATTTCAAAACCAAAATGTAGGTGATGTGTTTTAGGAAGAAACTAGCACACTGAATTATTCATTTTTTTTTTACTTCAGTAGTATTTTATATTTTGATGACACCTGAAGAACTGTAGAAAAAAAAATAAGCTCTAACGATCTCAATTTTTTAAACTTTTTTTTCCTGTATAGGTTTCTGCTCTGGGGTTGGATCCTTCAGGTGCCCGTTTGATAACTGGTGGATATGACTATGATGTTAAATTTTGGGATTTTGCTGGAATGGATGCCTCTCTTCAAGCTTTTCGTTCACTCCAGCCTTGTGAATGGTAGGCACAAAGACTGCATTTTTCACCTAAGGCTGTGCCTATGTTAAAATCCTAATAGAACACAGAAGAACTTGTCTTTATATGCCTTTTCATGCTTTTTCCAGAGACTTGCATATTTTCCCCTTTTAGAAAGCTACAGGTGAACTTGCAGATGAAATTGTTAATAACGTATCAGCAAATAGATTATGAACCTCTCAAAGAGACAGGGTGACTTTCATAGTTGTAATTGAAATTAATAGAATACACTTTCCATATGTACTCCATCAAATTAATGAAGAAGAGAAAAAGTGGAGAGCCTTAGTAGTTGCTGCCAGTATTTCAGGGTGTGTGTATCTAATTTTCATTAAAACCTTTGGTTTTGGACACACTGGTCTTTTGCATTGCACTGATAATTGAATAGCTACATAGTGTGCATTAAGAAAAAGTATATTGTCTTTTTTAGAGGAAAAAAGCTACATACTTATTTACATTTATCTATGTATTTTTATATATGTAAATTAAAAAAAAAGAAGCTACAGGAAACATTTTTTTAGGGAGCGATTTCCATGTTATCCATACTGTTCACTGGTAATTCAGGGAGTAAATGAATAAAACTGAGTTAATTTACATATTCCAGATAATCGGAACACAGAACTCCTTCAAAAGGAGTCATGTCTCATGCACAGCGAACTTGCAGACAAACACATTCATAAATTAATAACACAGTTGTTCTAGTAAGGTACTTTCTAGTGTCTAATGAATGTGATGTACTTTATAAGTTACTTTGGTACGCTTAAAAAAGGGATTGAAATTTATTATGTGCAGTAAATAGTACTTAGACTGTCTAAATTTAATCATTACTGTCTTAAAAAGCTACAGCTGAATTTTGGTCAGTTTGGAAGCTTAGAATGACTAATTACAGATCTGCCAAGAATCTAGACAGTGAAAGACAAGGAAAAGTTGGAGCTGTTAGCCTGAAAAGGAGCAAAATAGAAAGGAATTCTACTGGTGTTCTGAAGTGTGAAAAGTCAGGAAAATAAAAAGTGTGCTTTGATTGCTTATGCAATTCTAATCTCTTTGACAAACTTACATTATTATAATACAGTGATGAATGGCACATTTACTTTGAATACTAACTTAGTAAACATGCTGCTTTGAAATAAATAAATAAATAAAATTCTCCAAATGTGAAGTCGCATTTGGACTTCTCTGGCATGAGTTTCATTTGCATGATTAATTAGCAGGATTCAAATGGTATTTTCTCTTGTCTGTCATAACTGAGCAGTAGGAAAGAGCTGACAGTCTTTACCACCACAGTAGCTGATTATTTTAACTAAAGCATTTCCAAATTGACGAGAAGAGTGCATTCAAATGTAGTAGTACTTGGTAACAATGGTATAAGACATAAATATAATACAAAAATCACAAATACAGTGTACATTAATGTCCCATTTCAAGGAATACAGCTTGCAAATACAATTTTGGGCAAAAACTGATGGTAAAATATGAGCTTGAAGTGCTTGTTATCCCTGACGCTGTTCATTTAGTGTATTAAAAGTATCTCATAAGTATTTTTATGTGAATGTTCTTGGTGAAATGTACATTCTTGTGATTTGAGTATGTTGAAGTATAAATGAAATACATAAAAATACAAATATAAAATAATACTAAAAATAGAATTGACTGGTGACTTACATTGCAAGTCTCATGTACTAATTTTGTTTTTTGAAAAATGTATTATTTAAATATCCCTATCTTCTTTGTAAACATAAAACTGGAACTATACCTCAGTCTGGTAAAAAGATCCAAACTCAAGAAAAAATTCTTTCATGCTGACATTTGAAGCATGCTGGTGAGCACTATGTGGAATATTATATAGCTTACTTCCAGGTGTATATATAGTCTTATATTATTTTTTTTCACTATGGAATTTATTGCAAGGACTATTAGCAGTCACGGGCCCTAATTTCAAAGAATTCTGAGGAGTTCTGGTATGGAAGGTGTTAGCAGAAATCCACTTCTGGAGCCATAAATTTAATTTTATTTTAAGAACAAAAAAGCCCGAGAACAATTCGATATTGTCCAGACTCCATTTTGTAGCATAATATCAGGTTACTCTGTTAATGTCTCCTTGGATTTGGGATGTAATGAAAAAAAAAAAAAGAGCCTGACAAAAAAATCGTACCTTCAAATCACACCTCGATGTTAAAGGCAAAGGCAAGGGTAGGGCAAAGCTGTGTTACGTGTGTAGAAATTATTTGTGTGTCTTGATTCTACCCATGTATGTAGCTCTATTCTGCAGGTCCTGGCAGAAAGTACTATGTGCATTTGGCAGCTTTAAACCAAAATGACTTGGATTAATGCTATTAAAGGGAACTGGTTTTGAAAGTTTCCCAAGACTTTTGCTTTAACATTAATAAGAACCAAAAATGTTTTCTTTAAGAACTGCCTCTGCAGAGCCTCACTCTTGGTCATACTCCAATAAACATCTGAAAAGCAGTAACTTCTAGGGCTTACCCTGCTTATAGAACCAGTTTTTGGACATGATTTTAAAAGTCATGTTACACAGTCACAAAGGTGGGGGTTTTTTTCCCTTTAGATAAAGATTGTGGAAGTCTCTTCTCTCAGACTGATTTTTTTCACATGACTGATTTGATGAATTATTAGTTATGTTCCCATTGTGCTAGGTGCTGTAAAATTGGTTCTCTTCCTTGTTAGAAGAAACTTCAAATCTAAATCTAAGATGAAAACAGTATGTTAAAACATGCTGATATAGAACTACAAAGAAGCAATGAGAAGATATTGGTCAAATCATGAACAGTGCCAGTCAGTTAACAGTATTAATAGCTGTAGTTTTAATTTCCATACTTCAGTGTCTGAAAAACAGTTTTCTCAGAAGACTTTGTGGGCCTTTACATATTGTGGATTCTCTCAAAACTCAGATTTTAGTTCTGGGCAAGTTGTTTGATCATATCTAGTGGCCAAATCCTCTTCATGCATGAAGCACGCATCAAGCAAAAATAATCTTTTAGTGTAGGTTTTAAGTATTATTTTTTGGTTTTTGGATTTCAACAATGAAAAGTACAGAACATGAATCTGTGCTTTGGAGATGTGTTGGGTATTTTCTTTTGCCAATTTCAGCATTAGTGTGAGAGAAATGTAACTAGATAAGTAGTTCATTCTGCATGCAGTACTCAGGTCGGGCTCAGGAATATACTGAGCTTTGTACAAATCGTGATATGGCAAGAGCACTCAGAAGTACTACCGGGGAAAATTTTTTAATTCCTGAGATATGCTTGTTGCTCTAAAGCTGAACTTGTTGGATTCTTTAGTCTAGGTTTATCAGCTTTCTGCAGAGAATATTCTAGACTTTAGATACTATTTCTCTTGTGGATTTCTTTTTAATGTTTTCCATGTTTCCTCTGAGCTCAATACGGCTGGCCTTCTTTCCCCTTTTCTGAACAAGTATCCATTTTTTGCTCTTGAGGCTCAGGATGCTTTTTCAGACGTAGCCTGTGATCTGTTTCGGAAATTCCCAGATTTGAGTGTCTCCTTTCTACTAAAAATCAGAGTTTATAATACTCAGGCCAATTTGGCTGCCAGTTTGTATTACATAATAGGGTGCTTGAAGCAATTTTTGGCTTTTGAATCATAATGTAATCAGTTTTGCCAAACATTTTTGAATGAGAAACTTATGCTTAGTTTACATTACTATGATCAATGCAGAGCTTTTAAAATATGTATTACAATATTTTATATGTTTTGTGTAGTAACTCACAGTTTGAGGACATATTTAACAGATGATAGCTACTGCTGAGTCAATCATGAAGTCACTACCGTATAAGATGTGAAATTTAAATAATTTAGAAGTTGTATAGTCAGTTTTGTTGATCATCTGAGTGTTAATTTTATTGATGTGAAATTTTATTAGAAAGCAGTTTCTTTAAAGTTACTGAGATTTGAATGCATATGGTTATGTTCTTCACCAAAAGGAAGATACTCCTTTGAGGGACAGTATGAATGTCATGGGAATCCAATTCTAGCTGGCAAATGCATTCCTAGTCCTTAATTTGGAGTTAATTAAGGATTAATTTAAGGATTAATTGGTTAATTGCCTGCAGAGCTGAGGCATTAACATAAAGTAATGTTATGGTGCATGTGCTGTTAAGGTGTCAGGATATAAATTCTGGCAGGTGTGGAGTGGATAGACTGCTTTGCATTCTTTGCCAAGTAGGGGATCAAAGGGGTATCTGCTTCAGATACAGCAACTGCAGTGAACTTTGTTTAAGATTCTGATGAAACTGTAGCCCTGAACATGGAAAAAGATGCAGGAATGCTGACATATGATTAATTTCCTGGTGTACAATGTACAGTGGAGTTTTATGTAGGACTACAACATCCTTTTATAGTAATTTATAGATTACTGTAAATCCACATGTTGCTTTTGAGAAGCTGAAAAAAAATTTTCAACCCTGAAGAGCTGAATCTGACACATACTATTTTTCACTTGTAGTTTCAAGAACTTTCTTAAATGCATTTGCGAGAAATGACATTTTAGGTGCCAACTTTGTAAATAGTATTGTTTGATGTGCCGTGAGGTTGAAGAAGGAAATGTGACATGCACACACACACACACAGAGGAATAAAAAGCTTTAATCCATTAATTTCAGATTTTTTTTCCCACCTTTTTGGTATAGGAATGTATATGAGTATTTCTGCATTACGTTTTCTCATAATTGACGCTTCTGTTTTAGCGTAGGCTTACAGGAACTGAAGTTAATTAAAACATTTTCTTTCTTTTTTTTTTTTTTTTTTTTAGTCACCAAATCAAATCTTTACATTATAGTAGCACAGGAGATGTCATTCTTGTTGTCTCTGGTAACTCTCAGGCAAAAGTTCTTGACAGAGATGGCTTCCCAGTAATGGAATGCATAAAAGGAGACCAGTACATTGTGGATATGACGAACACAAAGGTAAAGTCAGAAATTAATTAAATGCCAGAAGATTGACAATGTATTGTACTTTTGCTCTTAACAAGAAACCTCATGAAGTTCAGTAAGGAAGAATGCAAAGCACTGTCCTTGAGATGTCATAGTCCTGTGTGCTGGATACATGCTAGAAGTTGTGGGAACTTCATCCATGGAGGTTTTCAAGACCCAGCTGGACAAAGCCATGTCTGACTTGATCTGGTGTTGGCTGTAATCTGGCTTTGAGCAAGAGGCTGACCTAGGTGAACTCAAGAGGTCTCTTCCAACTAATGTTTCTATGATGCTGCAACAAATTCATCTATTTAAAAGCTTATCTTGTAAAAATTGACAGCTTACCCCATGCCCTTGTCTAACCAACCAAAAAAAAAAAAAAAAGAAATTACTGATCTGGTATAGTCTCTTGCTTTCTTTGACTTTTCATTCTTTTGCTGGTACAGTTTCCCTATTTCAGTGCAGGAGTTGGAGGTTGTTATTATTGTTACTTGCATGCCATGAGTGCAAGACTAATAAGCAACAATGTGTACGTTTTTAGTGGTAGTTAAAAATGCAAATGGTGAAGGGCTGATTGATGGTTTTGAAGTATTTTAGCAACAGTTGATTGGGTTTTGACCACTTGTCCTTCGTATTTCCACAAACTGTACAAGGCAAGGATTCTGTTTACACAGATGACTTAAATTCAGGTCATTTTTTTAAATAGCTTAAGCCTAAAAAGTAATGATAAAATCTACTGCTCAAACTGATGATAAAGTTGATTTATTTATTGCTTGTAAAGTATATTGCCAAATAACTAGGCTAAATACTGTTTTGCCTAAAGCTGTTCTTGTCAGATGACTATTTCTTTTGGCTAGTGATATGTATATAAAACCATCAAATAGTAACATCTGCTTTAGTTCTTGTTTACTTAAAAATAATTCAGATTTTCTTTCTCTTGTAAACTTCTAGAATTCCAGTGTATTGTGGTCCAACAGTCAAAATGCTAAAATATTTGTTATATCGCCCCATTAACTTTTCAGTATTTCTCTCCATATTTGTGCTTAAAGCAAACTGAAGTAATTCCAGCATTGCAGGGTAGTTTCCAAATTTCTCTTTGAATGTAGTCGATGAGCATGTGCCTGTACTTCAAAGAAGTAAGGCCAACCAGACAAAGACATTTTGTATTCATAGTCACCATAATGGCAATCACTTACTTTGCATAAAATCCTTTCCTTCTGTTTTTTTCTGTCCTAACAGGGCTAACTACTCAATTTGCAACTTCTTATCTTTTACAAAAAACTCACCTGAGGTTAAATCCATTTTGAGTCTCAAATTGTTTCCTCACTTTTCTCCAAGGTCTTTAGCTAGTGTAGTTTGGCATTGAGTATGTATGTTGTGTCACTCTGGTAATTCTTGTTATTCCTGTTACTTTTGTGTAGCTTGGAACCATTTATGTGACACCATATTGATGCCTATTGTTTCATTCTTTCTCTGCACTACAGTTCTCCCAAGAGAAAAAGGGGAAGTATGATTCCATGCCATTTTCTAAAAGAAAAAATATAAGTAGAAGAATGGCAGGGGTTTTATAATTCAAAAATGAAAACAAGCAATGATGAAATGAATTAGAGTATACGAAATCTGTTAAATCACTGTGATGTTAGTCAGGCATTGCTGTGGTCAGAAGGGTCTGATTTGGCCCTTGGTTTTTATGTGATTCCACTTGAAAGATTTGGAGTAAAATTTATAAAACCTTGTAAGACTCTTTATGTTTATTTCTTTAGGGTCACACAGCAATGCTCAATTCAGGCTGTTGGCATCCAAAAATAAAGGAAGAATTTTTGACATGTTCTAATGATGGGTGAGTATGCAGGTCTGTCTTTGTCATGTATTTTTGAGAGGATTGTTTGGCTTTTGTGTTTTAATATTGTGCCCTAATTTGCTTTAAATATCATCCTTTCAAATCTCAAGCAATTGCTCAGGACAATGTTAGGTGAGATCTGGAAACAAAATATTTGTTTTGGCCCTAGATAATGAATGTATTTTGTCTGTATTATTTTAGTTTTGTAATTTAAAATTACTTTCAATAATATTTCATGAAAGTTGGTTAAATATGTTTTTACAAAAGTTTTTGGAAAAAATTTAACATCTGGTATATCATCAGAGTAGAATAATTCCTGTGTAGAGGCTCAAATGTTACTGAATTTGCTAGGAAGATAGAATATTTCAATTGGAAGTTGCAAGTTTTATGTTAAATGTAATTGACTGTTGATGAATGTTGTTTGACAAGTGTCGAAGAGACTTAGAAATTATTTTGTGGCTTCAGTCTTGATCTTTGTGGATTAGAATCAACCTGCAAAATATCACTGTGGCAATTGCATTAATTAATAAAGTTACTGTAGCTGTCAGTAGCAACATCATGAATGACTTTTGAACTGATGTTTCAAATATGCAATCTCCTTTACTCCAGAGTGACAGTGAATGGGAAGACTGAATTGCCCCACTAATGTAGCTGTAGTGTGGTCCATGGTAAACAGAAGAACCCAATTATCAGTTACTTTAAATGACATGGGTTTTTTTTTCCCCAAGAGGGACTGACTTATTAGTATAAACACACAGGTACATGAAAAAATTATTTTAATAGGAAAACTCAGAATTTCTGATAAGACTGTGGCAGAAGAAAAACAACTTAAATATTACAATGTGCTTTATGGAGCAGTTCGGTTGCAAAATTACATGCAAGTTAAGCCAACTGTTTATTTTTTCCAGCTTGTAGATGCAAAGGTTTTACTTCCATAGTAGAAATATTTATTAAATGGTAGATACTTTAAAAAGTTTGTTGCTCTTTTGAATGTACTTAGACATTACTACAGCTTCTTAATTAGGATTAATAGTTTGTAGATAGATAGTTTAAAAACAAATGAAGATATTATAAATTATGAATATTGTCTAGTTATGTCCTATCTAAGCAAGTGCCTAACTAATATACCAATTATGGATTCAGTGCATCCCTGAGTTGCTGTGAATTGAAATGGTCTAGTCAAGTAAGTAAAATCCAGATGAACACTACTATAAATGGCTGCATAATTGCATTTTCAGAGACACTACATGCCTGACATTATAGGAAAACTATTTTAAACCCTTTCATTTCATGCTAGTGACAGGTCTTTCCAGGATTTGGACATGTCATGTGAAAAGAAACAATTTGGATTGCTTAATTTACAACACAGGACTTAAAGATGGTATTCCATCTGTGAAATTTAATAATAACAGAAACTATAAAGTCTCCAAAGTTTAATCAGTAATTCATCTTAAGACTGGAGCTGTAAACTAGAAGAGGATAGAATAGTTCAGTTGGAAGGGACCTACAGTGATCATCCAGTCCAACTGCCTGACCACTCCAGGGCTCGCCAAAAGTTAAAGCAGGTTGTTAAGGGCGCTGTCCAAATGCCTCTTAAACACTGACAGGCTTGGGGCATCAACCACCTCCAGGAAGCCTGTTCCAGGGTTTGGCCACCCTCTTGGTAAAGAAATGCTTCCTCATGTCTAGTGTAAACCTCCCCTGGTGCAGCTTTGAACCATTCCCACGTGTCCTGTCCCTGGATCCCATGGAACAGAGCTCAGCACCTCCCTCCGCACGTCCCCTCCTCAGGGAGCTGTAGAGAGCAATGAGGTCGCCCCTCAGTCTCCTTCTCTTCAAACTGGACAAGCCCAAAGTCCTCAGCCGCTCCTCACAGGACCTGCCTTCCCACCCTGTCACCAGCTGTGCTGCCCTCCTCTGGAGGCATTCAAGGGCCTTCACATCCTTCTTAACTTGTGGGGCCCAGACCTGCACAGGCTGCTCGCGGTGAGGCCGCAGCAGGGCTGAATACAGGAGGATCATCACCTCCTCTGACCAGCTGCTCACGCTGTGTTTGATGCTGCCCGGAATGGGGCTTGCCCTCTGGGCTGCCAGAGCACGCTGCTGGCATGATTATGCCAATGTCTAATGAGCTTGGAAAACTTAATTAATTCAAAGAGATAAATAAAGGTGTTGTTTTCATTAATTATGTTGTGTAAAAATTTGTTAGTGAGTAGCACACCTTTGAAAATGTATGTTTCATTAGTAAATGACAGCAGCTGTTAGTATTATACAGTATTGGGCAAATTTCTGACTTCTTTTTGGTCGTGTGTCTTGCCACTGCTTTTATAATGTTGAAGAATGTTGAAGTGGAAATGTGATTCTAAATAAATGAAGGTAATGTGTAGTATTTTTTGAATGAGGAAAAATAACTGCTGTGTGATGGCTTTCTTATGGTAATTTCAGAGAGTATTTTGCTTAGCAAAGTAACATTAGAATACTTAGGTTTCAGAGCAGAGATGTTTAAAGCTAAGGAAAGAAATGGGCCATACCAGTGAGAGGTACTTGAGAACTGGTATTCATTTAAGCTTAAAGGAAGCAGTTTTTCTGAATTTCAAGTAAAAGCAATTTAAAAACTCAATTTATACCAAGCATTCCAGAAACCAGAAATTTTTTATTGATTATTCTACATCCTACACAGAATGTAAGATTTAATCACATCTGTAAACACAACCGTCTACCTATCTGCCTGTCTAATTTTTTACATTTAATCCAGTATTTACACATGACCCTTATGTGTTGAAGAACTATATTTCATTGATTTGTAAAGCTGGCTTTTTTTGTCTGAGTCAATAGATTTGCACTTAATGAAATGCTTGCAGGAATATGAAACTATTGAAGAGTCTATGTGAAAACTTGGTTTATGTTGCATGCAAAGCAAACAAAACTACTATAACAGAACTTGAACTTTGGAGTCAGCAGCTTTATTAGGTCAGACCAAATGACTGGCAGTCTTTAGTCTAGAGAGAAGAGGTCTAAATGGGGATAGGATGTGCAATTCAAGATGGTAGATGAGCTGAATGTGGACCTGTAGTTTGCCGAAACCTCTTTTATACTAAGAGGCATTTGTTGAAAGTGGCTAGAGTTAAGTTTAAAACTAATAAAAGAAAATCCTTCTTTTTGGATACTATCCAAATATATTCTGGAATGTGTTGTCACAGGAGGTTGTGGAGGCAGGTTTAAAAAGGGATGAGGAAAAATTCATTTTTAGTAGTGCTCGTAAGCAGATAGGAAATGCAGTAGGTATTACATCATTGCTTACATGACAACTGTGGATAGTGGGGGGGAATGAAGGGAATAAACCATAATGGCCAGACTTGTTGGGCGTTATTATTGCTGTGATCAAAGACTAAATACAAGGCCAAATGAATCTATGGTCAGATTTAGTCAGATGTTTCTTGTATTTTTATATGTTCTTCAGTGACGGTTAATAATCAAGAGAAATTTTCACGCTATACTACTGTTGCAAATGTAGTGTGTGGATACAGTGCTTTTGCAGTGGTTTTATATCTAGAGTTGGAGTGCTTTTCATCCAAATAGTTTAGCTGTTGATAAGGTCTCCTCTCCTGAGGAAGATGTTGAGGCAAATCTCAGTATATCTTTACGTGGCTTTGATACATAGAGATTTCAGGTAAGAATGTTTCATCGAGTTTCAAAAATATAAAAAAGGTCTCCCAGTCCTGAATCGGTCTTTCTACAGGGTGAGAGACCTGTCTGTATCCAGGTTTGACATTCATGACATTACACATGGATGTGATTTGGCACTCACAGTCCTCGACATATTCCTCTCTGTCATACCTTATCAAGAAGATGTCTATCCATAAGAGGAGAAATGAAAAGCTTTACAGTATTGCATATCAGAGAAAAAGGTGAACACATATTCAACTCAGAGTTGGTTTTTTTTTTTATCCCTACTGCTGCTCTTGTATACAGTGAAGATGACCTCTGGAAATTTTGCAGTAGGTATGTTAGTTTTGTTCTAAAATTTGTACAAGACATTGATGTAAGATCAAATCACTTAAATTACGGTGACTGCTCTGGAACTTGTAATAAGGAACGTGCTGCTATCAGTATCTTTAGGTGTTGAGATTTAATCCTCACGTAGGAAAAGGAATTGCCACAACTGGCATGCGTGGAGAGAGACACCTAATGCTGAACTCCAAAATGGGACCCTTCGGAGGGTCAGTCTTGAGTGTATGGATGTGGGAGAATGAAACCAGTGTTGCCTTTAATAGGCACGAAGGAAGGTTGAACATATTCCAGTTTTGCTGGCATTAGTTTCTGTTGGACATCACACGGAACACTAAAGCAAGGCAGTATTAGCTCTTAAACAGAGACTTTTCCACTCACTTGGTCAGTATATCTGTGTGGAGAGTTTCCATGTGCTCCCAACCTGGTTGCCGGAACCAGCACCTGTTTTTAAAGATGCAGGAAAAGGTGTAAGGGTTTTCAGTTTATCATCTAGGAGTCTGAAAGCTGCTGAAAGTAACAGCTGAAGCATGTATGTCATGCTCCTTGAGGCATGCTAAGTAACAGTGTCAGAGGTTGAAGGAGAAGAGGACACAGGAGAGCACCTGAGGGGTGTTAATGTACCCTTAAATCCTAATCTGCATATTCTGTACTTTAGATAACATTTGCACCACCTCTAGAGAAAAGTAATTCATAAACTGAATGTTAGAACTATTTACAAATTGTGGAGTATGTTTTATCTGACTAGCATTTTGCATTGTCTTTTTAGTTTAATCGTTGTCACTTACGTAAAGTTTAAAAATAAAGTAAGGAAAGAAGATTGCATTTTCTGGTTGGTTTGTTAAAAGCAGGAGTTTTCATGATGTGTAAAGAAGTTAAAAAGCAAAATTTGCAAGTAGACTTGTGGAATCAAAGGAAAATAATGAATTTTAAATATGTTTTAAATAGATGGGTTTTAAATGTTTTAAATACATATTTCTTTTTCTTCTTAT